TTTTACAATTCACAGTCCCCGTTTTTTATTTGATGTTAAAAACCATTGACCAGTGAATACCGTAATAAGAGATGTTTTGGTGTGTAGAATATATCAGGGGTTTCGTTAAGAGCCGGCCGCCGACCATACGGCCTGCTATAGCCCAAATTGGTCATCTACTCACTGCCCTCTTGATCGCCTACGCCGGTCTCGCTGCAGCACTTCGCACTGCTGAGAGCCTTTTTATTTTTTTTGGCCTGTTGTTACATGATGATGGCCTGCTATTAAATGCATTTGTCAAACTCCTGGTATATACTATATAGAATGTATAACAGCAGAGTAAAAACCTGTATCTCATGGTACTATGGAGATACACATGTTATGCACGTGACAATGAATGATATCAAATTTATAGCAAGAAAACAAATGACAATGGCAGTGCCCTCAAACTGTCAAATTGCAAACATTTTCTGATTGTAAACTTATTGCAGACTTTTCCCTATAGTGTAACAGGGAAACCATACAGTTCTTACCTTTTGCCAGTAGTCCATACTGAATCGCATGTACCAGATATCGCACTGAGTGTAGTCAAATTTATGCAAAACTGTCACATTGGTTTCAGCCGGTCGTATCGTATCAAGTGAATCATTTATACTGCCAGGTTTCCAGCACATGATACAATTTTCACAAGACTGCAATGAGAGACAAATAAAAACAGTTATTCTCACAAGTCACAGCAATAGCTTAGAGTCTAAGCACTTTTTAAGGTCTGTGAGACATTTCCTGCAATGCCTAGCAACCATGAGTTTATCTCATTAGCGATGCAAATTTATTCACTCTTCCCTGATTGGTCAGTTTCCAAATACAATGTACTGTAAACCACTGTTGCAAGTGACAAATTTCAAAGTTAGTGCAAATTGCAAATTTCTTTTGGGTCTTACAACAGAGGGGCTGTGATTTCCACAAAATATTGCTGTCTGCCACTCTTGATATCACAAAAATTAAACAGATCACAGTAATTTGATCACCAGATGGGTTTATATCATTTTCAATCAATCAACCAATCAAATTGCATTTATTGATCTTCATTCCTAGGTGTTGTAGGAGAGGTCTTGGAAATTCTTGGATTCTAGGCTATCACAGCACTAGCAATAGCAATAACATGAAAACTGAAAAAGTTTATTAAATAATTATTGATACTGGAATCACAGAGTATGCTTGGTTTGAAGGACAAATTATTTGATCAAAGTTGTACAAAATAACATACTGTAGAATACTTTATTTTCACTTTGAATTTATTTTCCCTAGCTTTGCTGAAGGGATGACTCCATGAAAATAAAATCCAGCGAATATACTTTTTTTCCTATATTTCACATTAAACTCATCAAAAATCAGTGAAAATAAATTCCATACAAAACGCCCAAAATACTTTTCAGCGAAAATTAATTCCAGTGAAAATAAAGTATTCCACAGTATTTCATTTCCAAACTATTATTTTCATCTGTGCATGTCCAGAATCACCTTTCTAAAATTAAACGTTTTCTCATTTAAAATCTTTGCTAGTCTCACAAAGTGCACAAGTTATTAAGCAGTTTTCCGTTCTAAATTTCACAGAATTTTTGACTTCCCAAATGATATAAAAAGATGGCTCTTTTCACAGAATATTTCACCGAAGGTGCATACACATGAAAAAACACATTTTTGTCTCATTATTACAAATTGTTGCTTGTCATAATTTTTAAATGGACCTG